TGTATATGTAAGCACTGTATTCCTTCAAAAATCTATAGCAAAATAATTATTCCTTATTAAAGAATCATGTATAAGAAAAATAAAGAGTATGAAGATTTTGTATCTATAGTTACCGATCAGACTATATCAAAAGAATAGCTTTTCTGAACTTCAAAATTTGAGCACTATTTTAAAATGAAATTAGAAGTTCAATATTTATATACTGTAACACCATTTCCATTAAGGCATTGTTGATTTTGTTAAACGCATTTTGACTCTGTCTTTCTTAGTGCACATCCATACACTTGAATCAGTTGCCTCAGGATGAATCAGAAGGTTACAATATCCAAAATCAGATAAAAGCACAGCATCATTCATTGGCAAAAAGGTGGGAAAAAAATCCTCTTATGGACGGGATTCCCCCCCCCATTATTAATTTGTTTGCTTATTACATTTATATGTCACCCAACTCCATTCTGTCTATAGGAGGCATACAATAGAAAACCGTTTAAAACAATGCAGTACACACAATATGAAAAGCAGACATCTGGAAAAATCACATAAATCACAAGGGGTCCGCCACCCACTCTAGCCTGAGGCTTGGGGGAAAAACCAGGTTTTAAGGGCTTGCTTAAATAAGACCAGGGTGGGGGTGGTGCTAAAAATGGCAGCTAACCTGCTAATCAGTACAAGATACGGAGATGACAGGATGCTTATCCTGGAAGATCTACTCTGGTTGCCAACTGTTTAATTTAAAGTATTAATCTTTAAAGGCTGACATGATTAAAATACTATCTAAAGGACCACCTCTCCTGTTGTGAAATTGTCAAGCTGTTCAGATGTGCAAGAGAGGCTAATTTGAAGAGGCCTCTCCTAGGAATATTTATCTGGCACATGAAAGAAGGCCTTCTTCTGGGTTGCTCCCATGGTGGAGCGTGCTGCTTCTGGAGTTGTGCTTACTTCTCACTCTCTTGGCATTTAGAAAATCTGTCAATGAAATCAGACGACTTTGTAATTTTTTACAAAAGCCTAATGTCACTAGATGTTTTCCCCCTTGATCATTCACAAATTCAGTATAAGCAATTATGTTCTTTCATCCTGAAAAAAAAATGAAAGAAGATATGTGGCATTGGGGGTTTTCATTCCAGTGGACAGTCTTGGGGTTAAAGAAAGCTAAGGCTGAATTCAGGGGTTGAGTGTTGAATACTGACCATCAAACGGGCATGAACTTTATTCTTCTCCCACTTCAATGTGGGATTAACAAGAGACCCTTCACCTCTACAAATTGTCTGATAAATCTCACTTACAATAGGCATTGGAGTCTGACTAAACACATGCCCACTGTATTAGTGGAAGGAAAATATTTTGGTATTAGAAGAGGAGAGCAAATGTGTCCATGTACATTAAAAGAAATGGAAACAAGAGATTCCTCTGTTGTCCATTCTACAAAAATGATTTAATGCAACCACTCATTGTTATATACCCAGGTAGGCTGGAGATGGAAAATGTGTCTCTGATATGTTTCCATATGTATCAGTGCAGGCTGCAAAATTTGGCTCAACTGTCTTTTATACAGAAGACCACTGGCTGAAAAATTCAGAGAAATCTAAGCTTGCATATTTATTTTTGCCTATTATTTTTCTTTTGATTTTAGTCTTATAAATAAATTAAATAATTGCATTCTTTGCTACTGCCTTCAGCTTTATGTTGTCCATTGATCAATTTCTGTATGATACACCAGCTGGTACACAGAACCATATAGCTGCAAAAAAGATTGAACCAGCCAGAAGTACAGGTGTTCATGAAACACAGAAGTGACTTCTCTCACCCTGTTAGAAAAGTAATATTCCTGATTCATTTCCTTATGTGCTAAAGCAATCTGAGTTGGCTTAAATGGGAGGTACTATTTTGGCCACAGTGGAAAAAAAAAAATACTGCAGTGTGTTACAGTATTCACCCACATTTACTTAGTTTATTCAGTTCCATTTGTAAAAACATAATTGAGTGATTTCTTTCGGTAAAACACATACACACACACAGAGACACACAGAAAGGGTGAACTACTGCTTTTGAGCAATCTGGCTGTGTTGTTTTAACCAGCACATTAAAATCCAGGACTGTCAGGTTCAGCCCAAAGAACTCCACGAGACAGTGCAGATACAGTTCTATAGCATTTATTAGCTTTCACCTACAAGACAGAATCTTG